ACAACAAGAATTAAAGAAAATACAATGCATTGTCTCGGATGGGAATCAAGGTAGCTCAGTAATTGAAGCAGACCATTTTTTTTCCATTACATCAGATTATGGAATGAACTAAACTCCTTACAAGCGGTATAGAAAAAGACTACGTACTCGTGCATATAGTAGTGTGACCAAATTCATGTGCAAATAATGATAGCTATATTAGTGCAACGTGCATCAAACTGAATAGTGCTCTATTTCTTATAGTGAAATAACAGCTTTTACAGAATTTTAATATAACCTAGAATTCGAGTCGCTCCTATTTATGACACTACAAGCTGCTTCGGTAATCGCTCGAAGTGACAATAATAGGCCAGGTTTCATTAGATGACGATGTAATCATCTCAGAACTAATAATTTTTTTGAAATGATGTTCTCATCTACTTGTCAGACGTTACTTTTCGGAAGTTGATATGCACAATTAGTACTGGTGCTAAACCAAGTCTGATGTGAACTCTTTTGTTGTTTGATAGTGAACAACCTTATGTTACATATTTATCTGCTGATAACTACTATCGAATCAAGAGAATTAATTCTAGAACACTAATTATCTAGGAGTAACAGACCACGGTTATTATTTTTTAAAATAATTGCTGCTAGTAAAAGTATATTTATTCAATGAAGAACTGATTCATTGCTTTGGTAAATTGTAAGCTCGTAATGAATGTCATACTGTTACACAATGCACAGAAAGCTGTAAGCCATCCTTGCTTACTTTTTGGCTATAAAATTTTGTGGCAACCCAGGAATATTACCAGCTAAATATATCAGTTAGGGACTTAATTATGAAATATTTCGCGTCACAACTGTTGTTCGGTAACAGTATATTATACAATTTAGTCATCCAGTGGCCATCGTTGAAGCCTTCTAAGCTTAAATACCTACAAGAAGACATAAACGTGGTGCACATTATACAATAAATGTCGTTCCTGTTTTAATCTTGAGATTCATATGCATATTGCATCCAATTTACTGTTTACGCACATTTATTTATCACGTAAATATGAATTCTAACAGGATCATTTACTCTCGTAACTTTATCAATCATTTAAGACCAAATGACTTTCGTATTCTCAAGAAATCAAGGAGGAAGCATCGTAGGTGTTAGCAAAGAGCTCTCAAACGCATGCCAATACACTAAACTACGGTCCCTATCATAATGAACACAAATTGCCGCTCTCTGCCTAATAAGATAATGTACTTACAATCTCTGATGTCCACTGACACTTATCATAATACTACTATAATCACATTACAAGAAACGTGGTTACATGAATTTTATGATGACAACCTTATCTCACTAAATGACTTCCTATTATTTAGACAAGACTACCACTGTCGTAATAAAAAAGGTGGTGGCGTTGCAACTTTTATTCACTCCAAATGGTATATTTCAAATAATGTTTGTTTCTCATTCTCAAATGACTCCATAGACTGTATTACTGTCAAATGTCGTCCCAAACATCTCCCCAAATATAAACAAATCTTTGTTACAAGCATGTACATTACTCCTAGTTGCTCACTATCAGATCTATCAAATTTTGCTGACGAATTCAACATGTTGGCTGCTGCCAACTTCGACAACTCTCTATCTGTTATTACTGGTGACTTCAACTCCTCGGACTGCTCTTTCCTTGAAGCACTTGGTCATACAAACATAGTCGAATTTCCCACTCGACTTGACAAAACACTCGATCTAGTTTTCACAAACGACGAAGGAATATACGAAACACGTAAACGTGCACCGATACTTAACTCTGATCACTGTATTGTTCGCGTTTTACCAAAAAAATACAGCAAAACAAATATTAAGGTCTTCTCACACCTGCCTATGAAAACACAACAAAGAAGCTACACACCTGACAACTTAATCTCAGGTGCAAGTTAAAAAATACTAACTGGCATTTATTCTATGAAAATACATTAGATGACACAATCGCCAATATAACGGATTATCTTAAGTTCTGTCTCGATATATGCTGTCCCAAACAAACACTATTCAAAAGCTTCGACCGCTTCACGTCTCCTCGTCTCAAACAACTACGCAGGTAAAAAGAAACATTATATAAATCCAAAGATAAGTTAGGACTTAAAAAGATCAATGCTCTAATCAAATCTTAAATAAAAATCTCAATGCTATGTATAATCATACACTTCTATCATGTAAATCTCCTACCAACATGTGGAAACTTTTCAATGAAATTACTGGCAATAAATAGTAAGCGATGCAATGTTTTTCCCTCTTATGATTGTAACGCTCTTAATCAGTCTTTTATACGCTCTCCTTCTACTTCTAATATTACAAATCATGCAGCTGATAACTTTCATGACTTTAATACTCTCGATGTTCTAAAATGTCTTAAAACGCTTAAGCCCTCACGTAGCCTTGGCCCTGATGTTGTAACTGCCCATGTTCTAAAAAAATGTGCAGATGCTCTATGTTCTCCACTTACTAATATCCTAAATGCTTCTTTTTCCAAAGACGTTGTACCTGTTGCATGGAAAGACATTAAAATACTCCCTGTCCCTAATCCTGGAAATAGCAAGAACGTAAAATTCAGACCCATTGCCATCACTTCCCCGTTTCTAAAGCTGATGGAGAAACTAGTACTAAAAAAAAAAAAGTACTCCCTTAAAAGTTTTGAAGACCCCAAACAATTTGCATATAGATAGGGTAGGAGCACTTTAGACGCTGCAGCCGTCTTACACAACAGTATCGTCTCATCATTAAATAAAGGTGCCAGATACGTTCGTTGAACGCTTCTCGACTTCACTTCTGCTTTTGACTCTGTACGTAGATGTCGCTTGCTAAATAAGCTCTCGATGACACAGACTGAGTCCTGGATCACGAACTGGTTGCATTCCTACTTCTCAAACAGAATGCAGTACACTGTATGCAAAGGCAAATCCTCATCTGCTGTGCTCACTAAAGCTGGTGTCCCCCAAGGTGCTGTACTCTCCCCACTTACCATCTTCAAATGACATTAATTTTACCCAATATGCTGACTGTATCTTTGCCTGTCAAAACAAAAAAAAAATGCTCTAAACTAAATGGCTTTTTATGAGAAATCAGCCAGTGGTCCAAGGAAAACGGTTTCACCTTAAACCCCTCCAAAATCCCAAACAGTCAATTTCACCTTTAGGCATAAATCTGACCTAAACAAACTGGTTAGCACTCACGAAGTGTCCAACATAGATGGCACTGAAATAGAAACCAAGTCGGAAATTAAATATCTTGGCGTCATTCTATCTGCTGATCTTTCCTGGTGGTCCCATATCTTGATGATTTCTAAGAAAATGTTCCTTCTTACCTTCTACATCAAGAAGTTAAGACATTCTGGTGTAACCCAACCCTTACTCCTACAATTCATTAACTCTCGCATTCTGCCTATTATTCTCTATTGTTCCTCCTTAGTCTTTCCTGGGCTACTGAAGAAAGACTATACCATATTACGCAGGATGTTAAAGGTTGTCAGCAGGGTAAGCAACGTGCCACCCAGCTTGTTAATATTCTGGTCGACAGCCACTTGGACTCATGTGAAAAATGGGCGAAATGCATTAAAATTATCTGACTCACACCACCCTCTTCATTGACAATTCCCCCCTTGTATCTCATCAGGCAAAACCAGAAACCTATATAGAAAACTATATGCCCGCACTAGTAAGTACAAAAACTCAACCATACCCTAATTAGCTAGTGTTCTGTGCGATAAAGAAAGCATTAGGCGTGATACCTATAAATTACTAAATAGTCAGTAGAACAATTGGATCTCGTCTTTCCAGCTCATATCATTTATAGGTACAACGTTTTCTTCCTTTCCTTTTTTATGTGCTGTTTTGTTTCTCTCTTCCTTACAAACTCTACTTAAAACATTGTTGTTCGTTCTTTCACACTCTGTATATCTCGACCTTCTTGTTACCGCTCACGCCAGTAAATATGCTAGTATCTACTTTTCTAACACCTTCAAACACTGTTCAATTTCGGCTTTGCTACCGACATGCCAATACGTTACTGTCAAAACTAACTGAGACTACCTTAATCTATGTAGAATTTTATATATTGTTAATGTACTAACTGGAAGCCATACTGTAGTAAAATGCTGAGAAATCCACTCTGTATCACAAGTACTGTTTCGGAATAAAGCAAATTATTATTATTATTATACTTTAGTTAAACTGATGACTTTTAGAAGCTGTATAGAAGTCAGTCACTAGCATTCTAGTGAACACTTTTCTACCATATTATGAATTTGTTATTGATGATGCACTTATTATACACACAGGATGGTGAATTTTCCATATTTTTTATTGCAGTACTTCATCCAACTCCAGACTGTTGAACAAATAAAACAGCATATGATGTTCAATAATAATACGATAAACATGGTTTTAGAATTGTCTGTTGAAATAACCATTGAACTGAACGGGAAACTCGACATCTGCTGGAAAGCTAAATGGCTTTGCAGTCAGAGAAACTCGGCAGTAAAAAACGACCGGTGTCCAATTCAACTCTTAGTGAAGACAGCATCGCTCATTATGATGTAGGTATAATGAGTTAAGAAGTTCTGCAAATGATGGCCCTGAAATAAGTAGCCAAAATCTACGGATAACCAATTCTTTATGCAATTTTTCTACGGGAAAATCACTGGTAGCTTCAACAATATGTTGACATTATGCACAAACAATGGGAAAACAGTTCTCGAATGTTCAAATTAAACAGTTTTGAGTTTATGTAAAAAAAGGACTGAGACCGGGAAAAAAAACGAACAAATGATTATTGTCTTTGGTAGTTGTTGTATTCAATCAAAAAGGTGGAAAGAAAAATGGAATGTAGAGAATCTGACCGAATCAAAAATAATGCAATATGTAATTGTTCATCTAAAAAAAACCTTAAAGAGAGAGGGAAATAAAATGACTGAATAATAAGAAGTCAATCAATGTCATCCAATGAATAGTTAGTTGGCTTATATGTTGAAATCTGAGAAATCCTTACTAACATCATCATTATTCGATCCAGGCGATGATAAATTTGTTGATTTATGATGTAGCAGAATCATAATAAAAAATAATAAGATGATAACAAACAAAATGCATATAAGTGACATCAACAGCACAGTTTGTAAATTAACTGAAATCCACCTCCACATAGATGACCACTGATATTCTCTAAAAAGTTGGTTTGACACTTCAGATTTTAGTATACTTGATATACGCTCTAGACTACCATTATTAGGATTTGGTGGAATGTTAAGAAGTGCACACATTAATGCATAGACGTCTACAGAATGAATACTTGGTACAGTTTCACCAATTTTAAAAGCAGGTCCACTGGCAATAAAGAATGCATGCATTTCAGAGAAATTTGTCACATAACCATGGTCACCAGCTAAAAGAGAGCAGAAGAAAAAAATTGAAGATAATAATACACCATTACTATGTATGAAATCTAAGCTGTATTACCTAACATCCCTAAGTACCAAATTCGGGAAGTTCACATGTTCATATAGACAAATCATGGAACTTACCCGTTGGTGTTTTGACCTACACTGGGAGAGTGGAGTTATGCCTCATTGGTCTAAATGCTTGATTGCTTACAGAGATTTATGCAGCCAGTTCGCATCACTAGCCTTTACACAGCATATTATTACGATTCTTCCATTTGGCTACGAGTGGAGCATATAGCTTCACCAGTAAATATCTTTTGTATCATGTTTTCTGTTGTTTTATTTAGCCTAGGAACTTCAGTTTCCTCAATGCCATCCTCAGACGCCCAATTTGTCACTTCTCATTTTAGAGCAAGGTGTGTTATGCCCATTGGATATCTCCTCAGCGTAGTTCAGTCTATCTTGACTTCCTCCTGCATGTTTTATGACACGCGTGCCAAATCTCTGAACCATATTCATCCAGCACTGACTTCACATTAGTATTGAAAATTCCAATTTGTTCCTTGAGCAGTAGATCTTCACACTGAATTTAGATTAACTGACATTTATCTTGTTATATCTAACTGATCCCGGCTGGATTTGACATCTTCATCCATGCCTTTAGTTGAAACGATGCTTCTCCGTTCATTTATGTGAAAGAAATGACATCCCTTATATTACTCCTATCGATGGTCAATGGTGCTTGTTGTTGTTGCTAGTTAGTTATCTCTATAACCTCTGTCTTTGCTATCTTCACTTGTAGTCCTACCTTTGCTGTCTCTTCTGCCAACTTCTTGCCTTCCGCTTGTTAATCTGCGGAATCTAGGTCTTCTAAAGTATTTTTGTGCTTTCAAAGTATCATCTTCTCACTACACATGCACAGTCTGTCACATGATCTAGTCCATTACACTCAAGAACATCAACACTTCATCTTATTCCTACCTTCGCTTCAAACGCTCTGGTGACTCTTTTTTGTGAACAACCTAACACGCAGTATTGCCGTAGAGCTGTTGAATCAGGTTCATGAGAGTTTACAGTACTGTACGTAGGAATGCTCAAGCAGTTGTCAAAGTAAATCGCGATCGGTGCCACTGAAGGCCATCTCAAAGTCGATGAAGTTTGGAGTTGACTGTTATTTTACATCCTATTTGATGATGTGTAGTGATGGAGGTTAGGTGTTGGCGAGTGGTTCTGCATCTTCTGATAGTATTTCTGGACTAATTGTAGGTGGCATTAAATTGATATTGGTGACCTTTAGAGAGACCTAACCAGCGTTTCTTGGACCTCTTAGCTAATCGGGTTTCCCACATTATCTTTCACAAGCATCATCTGAGCTAATCTCCTCCCCGGATAGAGCCCTGGTCGTTTGACATAGCACCCTGTTGTTTGTCTTACTTACAGCCTGTTCTGTTTCAGTTTCCAGTGCCTCTTAAGAGCATCTTTAGTCCTTTTGGACATTCTTTTTTACTTCTTTCTCCGCTGCTCTGTTGACCATACTTTTATTGTCCATCTGTGCATTGGTTTCTCTTCTATTTCATCATCTCACATTCTTTTATCAGCCTTCAGGTGTCTGTATTGAGAGATTCTTTGTATTACCTGATCTTTTCTAAGAGATCTACGGAGCTGTCCTTCCATGTGGCTTTCAGAGTGTCAGTATCATTAAACGCACGTTTACGCAGAGAAAGGTAACCATTGCAAGACAGTCTTCGAAGCTGTTAATGATACCGTGATGGCTACACCTTCAATGTGCCGTCTGTCTGTCTGTTTTCGATATAGAACTTTGCACAAATGTGCGGAAGTTCAAGTCACCACAATCCGTGTAGCACGCGAAGCAAGAGAAGAAAGTACAAGAAAAGCATAACAGAAACAGTGAGCAGAGGTGTGAGACAAAGGAGTAATAAAAAGAAAAACAAAACAGTTTCATTGGAGATCATAAGTCACAAGAAGTGGATGCATCTGCGCCACTGAGAACGATTTTGAGCCATGTCACCAATTGTTTCCAACCAGAGATTTTTATCGTCCCGAGGACCCCAGCCTGGAAGTCTACACCTTCAATATGCAAATTGTTGTCATTTGGAGACTGGAGTCGATTATTTAATCTCTCGTTAACAATTTGAAGAATCCACTCCTATTCAATCTCCTCTCACGGACTCCTAACATCTCTATACCATATCTTCTCATTTCATCTCTAATGCCAGTAGCCTTATCAACCAGCTTTAAATATGGTGGAGATATAGAATGTCCCCATGCCTACTCTTGTTATCCTCAATACAAGGCACAGAAGTTAACTGGCCTACCGAAAGTTTTCATTCGCTTGTTACATTCGTTCGCTTCAATTCCAGCAAAGACTATTTTTAGTGTTGATATTTTTACGGTGCTTTGATTTCTTTCGTGGAGATTGGGTTGTTTCTTCTCAGGGTAGAGTCTGTAGTCCCAATCGTGACCTTCAGTCCTTTTTGGGCTGACGGCCAGCTAGTACACTAGATGGAGTTCCTCACATAGTAAGTGTGGCTTGCTACCAAGTGAGCTGAAATGTAAGCAGTTTTTGAATAACACTAGAGACTAGGAACATATGCAGTCAAACCAAGCAAATAACTTGAAAAATGAAGAAAACGTTAAGAAAAATTTCAATTTTCTATATCAAGTATATACGACACACGCAGGGGCATGCAGATAAACTTACAAACTTTCGCGTACGGAAATGAGGCATTCTTCACAATTTTCCATCTAGGCTTAGCAATAAGTACTAATGGTGGCATACGAGAGTGACTGACATTGAAATTCAGATAGGCAGGGACTTCTTCCCTTCGATAAACTTCTAATTTAGGATGTGCATTCTTCAAACGCTGATAAACATGTTCAAACTTTCCTTAAATTTTAGAGGAAAAATTTAAGATGAAAGTCTCAATCCCCAAAATAATTTCAGGTGCATTTTATAATTACTGAAAAAATAAATGTCCGTCTCAAAAAAAAGAACATGAAGTTCATTATTATAAAAATAATAACACATAGAACTTGCTTACTTGAAAGACAATGCTGTTCAATGCTCTAATTAACTAATTGAAAGGTAAGTGAGTATTTAGAAGGTCACTTTAATGATTATACATTTGGAAAACTAACTAAGTGTATAATGAAATACGCTTAGAATTCAGGACACCGATAATAACAGATTGATTCATGGTGATTTTCAAACTAACCGGTGGAAACATGCTACAATAAGGATTAAAATTATGTGGATACGATATTTAATTCTTTCTTTAAAACTTAACGTTACAACAAATGATGACCGATGTACAAATGTGATTTCATCAGTTAACGTAATTCCAAGCGTGAAAGTTATCGCATAAGCATAAAATAATTTTTCATTACTATGAATAATAGTCTTACTTATCTTGGAAAAACTGTATACTGTTTTCTATTTCATTCATTGCATTCCGAGTGTTGCATTGCATCACTGAACTTCTGGCTAGAGTTTTGAAGTTACAGTGGCAGTTATATATATATATATATATATATATATATATATATATATATATATATATATATATATATATATATATATATATGCGGTGTGACCTTGCTATCCTGACGCTCAGCCTTCCCTCTTTATCGAGCTTGCTGCCGGCTAAGTGAGGTTACGGAGTGAGTAGGCTGGCGTGGTTGACAAGGATTCTACCATTGAGTCACCGATTGCTTTAACCGGATTTGATTGCAGAATCCAACCTGATTGGGACTATTTGATAATATACAAGTTTGTTCTCATAGTTATTCCGAACAAGTATAATTTCAACAGGCATACATTTTCAATAGCCTCCAATTATTCAGACTTTACATGTAATTATAGATCTAAAAATAAGAGGTATATCAGTTCGATTTTTAAATACACGACTGAGTTTGCGTGATTAGACTACATCTTCACCGCACGGAGTACCACGAAAGGTGAAAAACTACAGTGAACTTTCTGATAAAATTAAATGCCTACCATGCAATAAAAAGTTATTCCACTGTAAAAGCTAAACTGAATAGATACTATAAATACCACGCAAAAAAAAATCCACCCAAAGTAATCAGAATGAAATGAAAAAAAATGTCGCCGACCATCACAGGAAATTGTGCAAGATATGCATTATATATATATATATATATATATATATATATATATATATATACTGACGGCCTGCTTCAGTCATTGGGCGACCTGAATTTCCATCCAGTACAATGCATCATGCTGTTTGAAATTCATATTGTTTTAGCCATTCAGTTATGTCCTTGAGTTGCAAAGTGTACTCATGCACATTTTCAATTGGAGCTTTTAAAATACCGGTGAGCGTATCTCGTAGACGAAGGAAGCATATCATAAGAGATTGGTCAAGACTTCAGATCGAACAGCATGTTGTCACATGATGAACTATAGATTGTTATTTCACTTGCAATCTTGGTTGCAGAGAATATATTATGCAATGAATTACACTGAGACTTCCGTACACTGGGTGAACATTTTAGCCAACATGAAGCTACTACTGTCATTATTGTTACAGAAGCATTTATGTTAACTTTTTTTATTCCTTCACGTTCCCCAGTGAAACATTGGGCTTCAAGCTAATGGCTTGAAGTTTCTGTAGCAGTGTTTATTTTACAGGGTGGGGTTGCTAGCCTTATGCCCAACCTTTCTTCTTTACCAGCATTATTTCTGGCTCAGCGAGGTAAAGAAGTGCACTGGCCGTGGACCATGTGCATGGTCGGCGAACGTCCTAACCGCTATACCACCAACGCATTTATGTTACTTAGCTAAAAAACAAATGAAAGTCATCATCTACTAAAGAAGTTTATTTAGAGAGTGGGCCAATGAATTCCTTAGGAAAGGTAAATTGTAACATCGGACTTTGATGAAGTGGAACTTTTAAAGCCAAATTCACTATTACAATTTCTTTGGAAAAAAATGTCTTAGATGAAAAAGACTGCATACAATAAAGACTAAATACTTACCAGGTTTAGGATAAAGAAAGCCCATTGTTGATAACTGAGTATACGTGTACAAAGACCTGTCCACATAATCATCCAGTCCAATCAGTCGACTATTCGATGTTTCAGTCATACCGTGATCAGCAGTTAAAATGATGTCTACTTTATCTGTAAGACCTAATTTTTCAATACCATCTAGAAGGGTACCGAATGTTTTATCTAAACTTTGGACAATTTCTGCAACTTCTTTACTATTTGGACCATATTCATGACCAGTTTCATCAGGTTCATCGAAATACGCCAAGATGAGATTCAAATGAAATTTAGGATTTTTCAGCCACCATAAAATATCTCTGATTCGTTGATCATACGCATAACGATGGCCATAATTATTAAGTAAAGTGAACTGTGAAACATATTGAAATGGTAAATCTTTGCCGACAAATTGATCAGTTAAAGGCCATAAAACTGAACCAGCGTACCCACCATGCTTTTGGAGTGTAACCCATATCGGCTCAGACCAATTAGTTAACCATGGGGCATGATTTAAACTTTCTTGATCATCCATGTTGAAAGTTTCATTAGGCCAGCTTTTATCCAACAAATTATTTCCAATAACTCCATGATTCTCTGGATATAAACCGGTAACTAAAGTACGATGATTAGGTAAGGTAATAGTAGGATAGGCATTAATCGATTCCATGGCTCGCACACCGTTAGCTAATAAACGATCGAAATTCAACAATGAATTAGCGCCAAGATGAGATTTAGCCATTTCTATATAATCATGCCGGAAGCCATCCATGCTAATTAACAGAACAGTTCTATCAGTAAAAAATAATCTTGAGAAAGGCCTTTTCACGTCCCATCGATTTATATCAGGGTCTAAGGGTATATCCATCGTGACAATAATGAAACCAAAAAGCATCATTGTAACGCCTGAAGCAATCAGTGAAATCAAAACACAATCACTTTTACGCTTGTAACGTTGCATATAGTCCTGACTTATTTGATAGTATGGTGGAGGTAGGTCATTCTTCTCTGGTAGTACACCTTCTATTGACATTATTTCTGTAACGAAAAGAAAGTAACAAAGACAAATAAAACTTGATTCTAACAGGAAATGCGTCATGTAAGTAATTTTCACTTTTCAGTAGGAATAGTTTATTTGTAAGTAGAACTGTTTTCAGATTAAAAATAAAACGTGAGAAAGTTTTCAGTTAGCTTACTTGATTTTTTCTATATTTATATATATATATATATATATATATATATATATATATATATATATATATATATATATATATATATATGGATACTATATATATATATATATATATATATATATATATATATATATGGATACTATATATATATATATATATATATATATATATATATATATATATATATAACATTGCGTTACACTACAAAATATCTTTGAGGTGTGCTTTATGAGATGAAGCTGAGTAACTTCAAGTACTCTTTTTCAGATGCAGTAGAGTTCGATTGATGAACATTTTTCAAAAATTTACGCATGCTTTTCTAGTCTAGTGTATTATCGAATAGGAAGAATGTTTTGAGTACAGCAGTGAAGAACTGAAAGATTATCCTGTTTATATGATTCGATAAACTAGGGTTAGTTGCAACATACTATAAAAGATAAAACATAGTACAGTATAGAATACTATCGAGAAGGTAACTTCACTCCACAATACACGAAATGAATGAAAATAAGATTGTGCACAACAGGGGTGAAACAAAAACAGATCAACTGTATCCAGAATCCGAAAGACAGCGTATGAAATGAAAGTGAAAAAGGATACAGGTTATTTGTTAGACGTGCTTTCAAAATCTCTCGATAACTTTTGCTCGAATTTGGATAAGGAAGCTAGAGGCATAAACTTCACGGTATTTAAACCTCATTCACTCTCTTACAATTCAAGAATTTATCACAAACAATAGGCTGGGTACAAACGAAGCACTATGCTATCCACAGCGACAGGACGAATACCCATATAGTTATCATTATGAGCGCATGTATAGCAAAGTTTAGCTTTTTTCTAAAAACAGTGACGATAGGGATTTCGCTACGCAGAATTCGATATTATTCTTTTCAACTTCTTGTTTGCTACAAAACTTGGCTATACAAACATATAGGGTGCGGATACTTTGTGAAGACACCACCAACTGGCATGTGTCTTAAAAGAAAGCTTATTGTAAGCCTTGGCAACATGAATGTGGTTGTTGAAGTATAAATATAACTAGCAATCATCACTCCCTATAGAATCCAGTGTCACAGTACCACTGGACGAAGAAATACACGGTTAATACTTGACCTCAGAAGCGCTGGATCTGAATACATAAATACTCTGCACCCTGTTTTTGAAGCGTGGCTAAACAAAGAATTCGAATATAAAACTTTAAAATCGCAGACAAATTCCACATATACATTCGAAAGAGTAATTACAACTATTTTTTCACAGGATTATACGTTTAGAACAAGCTGACGATTATAAACAATGCGAATGATAGCAGAGACTTTTACAAACTTTTATTTCAACAACTCACATTCTTCATATCGAAAATTAAGTCAAGGAAGTGAAGTTAAGGAAGTGAAATAAAAACACTAATATAGGTTGTAGATGTGTAGGGTAGGCAAGGCGATACAATGATGAATCTACCAATTCTATTAAGCTCCGAAGCTGTGAATTTTTCTCCCATCATATCTATGACAAGATTTCCAAGATAAGGATGAAAAGATATAGGTATACATAGTAATCTTATTTGTGCCACTGCCTGAGAACAGATCAGTGTTAGTTGTAAGAAAAGTATTACCAATGTTTCGATTGTCCTTGTCTACATATAACTTTAAAACAGAGAAATATGTAATAATGTATTCTAAGAATTAGAGTTCACAAGACACCAACCAGTCCAGCGCAGTGTTAAGTGTCCTTTTTTCCTTTGTTCATTAATTTTTCACCATTATGAAAGTAAACAATCCACAGTACTAATTCAAGAAATGATGATTGTTAAAATCAACTGGAACACAAAAAAAATACCGTACCACGGTAAACTAGGTAAAAACACATTAACTGAATAAAATTATGCATTTACATGATGCAAAATAAATCAGTAAAAGATGCAGGAAAGTGAGATCAAAATGATGAAAGGCAAAACAAAAGCAAACCATTGAATAAAATATTTTATTTATATGTTGTCTGTAGCAGAAATTGATGAAAAGATTAAAAGCACAGTATGAACAACAAGTGTAAATCTAGAAGCTCACTTCTAAGGGGATAAAAAACAGGTGTTACAATTTTAAAGTTCCACCCAATTAAAGTGTTACTTTCAAGGAGATGTTCAATAACTGTATCCATATAATTTAGCCACCGGAGCAGGAGCACGTCGGAAAAACAGAGATGATCCTCGGACAAAGGCATCCTGCAAAGAAGAAAAAAAAAAGAAATTGAACAAAATTGCTTAATAATAGCATGTTTTTTTTTAATAACATCCAAAATGTCAGCACCGTAAAGAAAACAACATCTGTTATGTGAGTGCGGTGAGAAAAAAGTTTGTAATTTCAATTATACCACCTTCCATAAGTGCGTAACACAGGCAAGTTTGTACTGTCTGTCTGTTTTTGACATAGAACTTTGCGCATATGTGCGGCAGTTTAAGTCGCCACACCCCATGTAGCACACAAAGCAAGGGAAGAAAGTACAAGAAAAGCATAATAGAGACAGTAAGCAGAGGTGTCAGACAAAGGAAGAGTAATAACGAAGAACAATATAGTTTCATTGGAAATCACAGGTCACAGGGAGTGGATGCATCTGAGCCAGACACTGAGAACGATTTTCAGCCATATCACAAATTGCCTCTAGCCATTGATTTTTACCGTCCCAAGGACCCCAACCAGGAAGTCTACACCTTCCTAAGTGACTGGCTTACAATAACTGTTGTAGATTTCATTGACTGGTGCCACGTTTTGGTTTGAACGCCGCTAGCTCTTTTCCAGCCTCACCCTATATCAGCTAACATAGCCCATTGTCGAGGAAGGCGATCGACGACTAGGCATACGTAACACATGTCCTAACCATCTCAGTCTATATAACTTCACAATCTCATCGATTGATTTCCTCTCCTTACCTAGAACTCGACCGAGGCCTAACCCTCAATATTGCTCACCTTATTATACCACTTCACATGGGAGATACAACTCAGGCACCTATGATCAAAGATAGCTAATCGTTTCATGTCTTCCATTTTCAATGGCCAGGTCTCACAGCCATAAAGGAGGACGGAGCGGACACTGATGAGCTGTACATTCTCCCTTTGGTCGATAGTCGGATATCTCGTCTACGCCAGAGACGGCATGAACTGGTGGGCGTATGCCAAACGAGCCTTCTGTATCCATGCTGAGATTTCGTCAGCGATCAACCCGTTGGCACTAGCTGATGCAACTTCCTAAATAAGTGAAGTGGTCAACACGCTCCATCGACCACTTCACTCCCTGTTTCTAAGCTACGAGTCAGTGAAGTCCAGTCTTGTAACATCATCTTAGATTTTGTGGTAGCAAATCGCATCCCAAACATTCGTAGATTGCAGCTCAAGGTGTTTAGAAGACTTTGCTCTATTTTGTAAGCGTTCTCGCCTAGAAGGACTATATCGTCTGCATATTCTAAGTCAACGAGATTATTCCCTGGTAGCTAGTCAATCCCTGAGTCGCTGAAGTGCAAGTTTGTACAGAAATAAAGTAGCAGTGTAACGTAGACTTAATACTAGGCATTTAACAATCTTATACACCAGTTGACTTAAATGATACATACAGAACATACAACAGCGATTGGCCCTTGTCGTAAGAGTAGAATAAGGGTACTGTGGTAGAATATAATTCGATATTAGATAAACTTATAAATGGAAGATATTTCAAGCATAATTTATTGCCCATAATCATATAAATGTATATATATACATAGATGGTACGTTACTTCGACTGTATGCGTTGGGTGCTGATTCACAACCTCTCAGTCGACTACTTTGAAGTTTATGATTGACTTCATTGTTCATCCCTTAGTTTTCGCTACTTCATCACACAAAGCTAACTATCGTAAATCCAGGACAACTAACTACTTGCTGTAGGACGGACTATCGATTAAAGTAACAATTTATTTCTTGAGTTTGACCACAGACTGATATCTATTAGAGAACCATTGAAAACCAGGGAGTACTGAACAGCTGTTTCATCCTATTTTGTTAATCACAGACAGCACGCACCCACTGGGTTTCGAACCCAGGACTTTCAGGTTACAAGGCAAGCTCGCATACCATTCAACCATTGGGACCCGATTCAATAAACCATTGAATTCTAACTTCTATCAATTCGTGGTTTTTAGCGCGACCACCGACTAGTGTCATCGGCGGGAAATCCATCCTCACACACTTAACTGAATGAACCCGACTGATCAGAACTTCTCACTAGAACTTCACGAAACTCCGTTCTGTAGCAACTCATTAGCGAGTATCAAAGAGCTGATCTGTAAGGATTAGGTTTGCCTTACAGAAGCTAGAACAGTTTGAAAAATGAGATAAAGGTAATTTATGACATGGAAAAAATCAAAAAGATATCTTTGTGATAGGTGAGAGAGAGAAAAAAAAGAGGAAACCTGATTTGTAAAAAGCCAAACACTTCTAGCTTTGATGTATGTGAAGTGTTTTTTGGAAAAAAAAACAGATTTTGTAAAACATTTCTATGAACAAAACTTGATACGGATAAATTGCATAGTAATCACCAACAGAATGAACGAATTTATTTATATACACAATTTTAAAAAAAACATAAAAAGATCACTCACAGATCGATTGAGATAGCAGTAACACTGCCACCAGTTGTCGAATACAGGCACAATGTTCATTCTATATTTTCATGAGTGAAAGGAACAGACCATGAAAGTAAATTATTACCTTTTTAGTGTGATATAAAATTTCTAATGTCGAAAGATCAAATAATCAGTAGAGAATTTTACTAGAAAATCAAAAGTATGCCTTAAGACAGATGTACGCGGGAACAGTGTATAAAATCGACCATGACAGTCGGGATATATCCATGAAATGCATTCCACTAATTTAGAAAGTTTCTACTACAATACACCTTTATTTCTACTATGGAATTACATTAACTATTTTGTTTCTCTAGTTAACTTCCTCGTTAGCACACTGTCATAGAGTATAATGGTTATACTTGTTTTTGGTTATTCAAGTCTGATGCACACTGATTAGTAAACAAAGAACATTATTTTCTTCAGGTTCCACACATATATGACCAAATTAGTTAAGGAATGAGTACCATGAAAAAATATCGAATCATCACGATAAAATATTTACAAGGTGTATATCAATAAATTGCTACTACATAACAGTTTAAATAGTGCATGCGACACTATACATAAATAATCCAAACGAACCATAAACGAAGTAGTGAAGAATAATTCTCCATTTTAATTGTGTAACTAACAGATTTTCAAAAGCCGCCAGATAACCGAATATTCCAAACAACAAAAGCTACAGCAATTGGCTTGGAATAACTTGAAGTAAATCGTGGCAGTAGTAGTAGTCTGTCTGTTTTCGACATAGAACTTTGCACAAATGTGCGGAAGTTCAAGTCGCCACACTCCGTGTAGCACGCGAAGCAAGAGAAGAAAGTACAAGAAAAGCATAATAGAAACAGTGAGCAGAGGTGTGAGACAAAGGAGTAATAAAGAAAAACAAAACAGTTTCATTGGAGATCATAAGTCACAGGGAGTGGATGCATCTGAGCCAGACACTGAGAACGATTTTGATCCATGTCACCAATTGTTTCCAACCATAGTAGTATGCCCGAGTTGACTAATGCAAGTGAAAAATCGAACATTCTACCTACACAACAACGACAATAAAAAGACTCGGCTTTTTTGGATGGATGGTCGGATTATCTCATAGTGTCTGTGGTCAAACTGCCACTAAAAACTACTACCCTTTAGATGTGACCTTTTGTTCTTTAAATATACATTTCCCCCATCAATTATTTTCTAAATAAAACTCATTTGATTCATTAGTCGTCACATTTTCATACTCATACGAATGAAGCATTCAATTCTAACCTCCTGCCAGAAGAAGCTGTCGAAAAGAGTGTCCCTTGTTCACCAATCTCTGACCTGGCAAATAATGGGAATCTCCAAGCTATTTATCTAAACACTGTAATATTTATCTGTAATTATCCAGGTAGCTCAGTTAATACTCAACTGTGTCTATTGTACACCTATTACAGAATAACTAACATACACTAGAGAAAAAAATGGAAGCTTTAAACTGGATAGTTCCAGTCATGACATTTGTTTTCCACTGACTCGTACATCTGAACACCTAAGAAAAGTAATCATTAAAGTCTTTTTTTTGTTTGGCGATTCCTATGAAAATAATTAGTGTCTATCTCTTATTGTTGAAGTTTTGTCAAATATAACAGCACAGGTTTACTTATTGGTCTTGTAAAATCCACATTTTAGGTTCTAGAAATTTTCTCCCCGTTGAAACACATTCCTTATTATTGATTTGTTTAAATAACAAGTACAAAGAGCTAGTAGTAGTAAAATGATCTAAAAGGGAGAGACGAGGTTATTAAAGGTGTGGTTAAACAGATGATGAAAATCTAAGAAGATTTGAAGATTATATCACACATCTCATGTTATTTATACTAATCAAGAAACCACGATTTCGCTAGAGAAACAACACACTGCTAATCTAATCCAATGAAAAGATAGTAAACACTCGGAAGCAGTTTGTTCTGACCAAAAATAATATTGATAACAGTTATGCTAGGAATAAAGCTAATGCAGTACACATGATTAGTGATTCAACACAACCAAATTTCAAGTCGAATATTTTATTCACACTAAAAGAGAATCACAAAAGTTAACCGATACACAAAAGACAACATACAAGGAAGTATTTACTCTACTGTCAGTCATCTATTTTGATGTTTCATAAGGCTTAATCAGTCACTTTTGGCAACCAATAAGTCCTGGAATCGAATCACGCTCCACCTGATTCATCGTAGACGAGTGACTGAGTAGTATCATTAGTCCACATAATGTGTGGTTTGTAGCCTGGTACATTGGAAATCTATTCCGAGAAGTTGAGTTTTAACGTCTGTTCAACACAATCAGCGACATAAATACGATCAAATTATATTATCAACAGTCAGGTGTATCAAGTATATAAAGGAAGTGATTACTACATATTATTATTATTTACAAAAGAGACAGAATTGCCTTCCTGGATGTCCTAATTACAAGAAAACCAGATGGTAGCATAAAAAGAAATTTGCATAAAAAAAAGTACTTGGACAGGACAGTATACACACTTTCACAGCTTCGTTCCTATCAAGTACAAAAGAAATTTAGTGAAGACGCTCAGCCACAGATTTAGAGCTATATGCTCAGAAGAAGTAATTAAAGATGAATTAAGCATTGTATATGGTACCTTGATCGAAAATAGCTATCCCGACAAATTTATCAAGAAACACATGACAAAGAAAGCGGAAAAGGACTACTCATTATTTGTAAACAAGAAGCCACTTTATATACGACTATAATTCAAGGGTGATATACCAAGTGAGAAAATTACGGGGAAATTAAGAAAATGAATTCAAAGAACTTTTAATGCTGGCGAACTACAAGTACCATTCTCTACACGACCCATGGTGCTACCTCGATTGAAAGATGAAGTACCCACACTAGCCACTTCAAACTGCATCTACCAATTCAACTGAGCTTGTGATGGAGCCAGCTATATTGGTCGTTGCTCTAGGAACTTTTCGTGCTTGAAAACATCTCCCACTATGGCTAAGTAAAGGTGTAGTTAAAACCATCAGCAGTTCGATATTGGACCATCTGGTGCGAACCAGCCACAAAGCTAGCGTTGAAGAATCCTTTTCTGTAATCTACCGGGTGCCTAATAAATTGCCAAAATCATCGAAGCACCGCAGGCTCCAAACAGCAGAGGCTATTGCGATTCGCCCCAAACAACCAGTGCTCTGTGTTCAAAAGAAGCAAGTCCAGCCCCTACTATTGCCTTGGCCTTCAGTAAAGACTATAAGTTCATGAATTTGTAATATTATCTCTCGTAATTTTTCGGATATTCAGCTTATTTTATGTTGATGCTACTGAGCTGTAACCTTTAATGTTGTTCATAACACTAATTCATTCATTCATTCACTATAATGTATATACAACTGTAGAGCCTGATGATGAAGTTATCGAAAAGAGTACTCTTTGTTCAGTATCCATTCCTTTCAAAAGTTACTTTGTTAACCCTGAAAAATAGTCTCGATATCCAACGTTCGTTAGAGATGGATTCCTTTTAAAAGGTTTATGTTATCTTTGTTAATGAACATATAAATCAGCACATTCATTTTTAATAGACAGAAAGCAATTGAAAAGTATGCCAAAAACCCTATGGTTTACAGTAACTGTCAGGCAACTTTGAAATTAGACGTCCTACTTGTAGATACTTATCACAAGCATGGTGTAATATCAACATTGACAGAATAGATTTTCAATCAAACATCAAAATTCATGCCATCAGTTTTGCTAGATGTGACATAGTCACAGATAATGCATCCCACTATGGTATTAATGTATTTGTAGTGAAATGATTTCAGAACATACGTAGTCAGTGTGTTGTAGAGTAAATATTAAAGCAATATTTTTAAATCCTATGAAAATAAACATCATAACTTTCTCTGATCAGTACATTAGTTGACAGAAGACAAAAATAAAACAAACAAAATTCTGTACATAATTAAGGTTTAATGTATTTTAACTTCAATATACACTGGACTTGAATAAAGCGTGTGTAACTTACACAATCCATTTCTTTACCTATATCCTATCTTATTGACTTTAAATACCCGTGTATCTTGAAATTAGTCTAAAAAGTTCTAATAATAAGAACAGACTAGCAAGAGTCAATAAGCAATAAGGTGTTGATGAGCACATGATTCTGAATCTATAAGACAGACAGTAAAAAATACCTATGGGTGTGTTTAGTTTAAAGACAACATTGAATATTTATGTTATTTTAGTATTATTCTGCTTATGAATAACAGCTTAACCATTCGTTAAATTAAATTCGCAATTAGCACAGTTCGGTGTTGTGAAATTTCGGCATAGTTCATACTTTAGAAACCGAAATTACTCAGATCACAATATAATATGATCTGTTTTATACCATAAATTACAGTCAAGAAGGCAAGCAAGCACAAATGCATGATTGATAAAAGCAGCTGGATATCACTTAAATTCACCAGTGTCTAGTTCACATCGATTTGACCAGCAAGCACTACTGGTTGATGTGAGCAGTTATTCAACTACTCATATCAATCACACACTGTCAACTAAAAATATGCACGGGACTGCGCACAAGAGTGAGGAAGGATGAATAAAGTAAAAGTTATAAATATTATATAAAACATCATTGGTGGTTAGTAAAGCTAACTGGTCACTGGATACAGTGCATCAAACTGTTTAAGATATGCCACCGGTGAAATCTAATGACTGTGTATTACTCAAATCGTATTCACATGACTAGGCACTTCTTTCTGTGAACCAGCGTCCTCGAAATCACTTATGCAGATTAGTAGTAATTCGTAGACGTATAAATAATCACTATTGTCAAGATGAACAGTGGAATTCATGATCAGATTTTATCTAATCGTGTATCTATTACATCACAATGGAAATATTCACTGAAATTTCAAAGACACTTGAAAATAAAAGGTTTGATATCTTCGATAACATGAGATAAGGAAGTGACAGCAATATTGGTAAAAATTGTAAAGAGCCAAAGGACATAGAAAGTATCAGGAAAAGTGATACAAG